GCACTTTGTCTTAACAAGTAAGTATGCAAAGATTGATATCAAGTATAGCATGCAGTAGAGGTAATAGATTTTCTTTACTGGGTTGTGCACAGCACTTTGAATAATCCATGGTGTATAGCTAATACTCAAGAAACATTTTTCATAGAATGACAAGTAGCAAGCAGTGTGTCTTTTAAGTAGAACAATATTTTATAAAGGTACCAGAAAAAACTATTGATCAAATTTGCTGTTCTTGAGCATATCATTTCTCTCTCTCTCTCTCTCTCTCTCTCTCTCTCTCTCTCTCTCTCTCTCTTTCTTTCTTCTTTTTCTTTTCTTTTCTTTGTTTGTTTCTTTCTTTTTTTGTATTTTAGGGAAGGGTCTAGAGGGTGTTCAGAATCTCACTACTAGATTGGACTTGTAGTGACCCGCCTATTTATAGCCTCCCAAGAGCTGGGATTACAGGTTTGCACCACCACGCCCAGTCTCAGTCACCATCTCAGGTGCCCTGGGGGTGGGCCAGCATGGTAGGCCAGGGATCGAACCCCTGGCTCCTTAGAGGCACTTTAATCCATTGAGCTACTTGGCCAGCTCTATGTATTTCTTGTCATCAATATATGTCCTCATTTCTTTCTTCCCTATCTTCGAACAATTATAGCTCTCTTCATCCTAGGCCTAGCATAGCAATGAGTGAGTTTTATATCTATAGTATGAATGAGTCACTGCATAGATTTAAAAGAATATGAATGGTAATGGAAGGGCTCATAATTTATCCAAAAATTGTTCTTTTCTTTGAAGATGTTTCTATGTGATTTTTCGCTTTACGGAATACTTGTCACTGCTTCTCTGTGAAGCCAGATCACATCCACATGTCAGTTCAGAAGTTTTTAGGTGGCCATCTGTAAGCATAGGGTTTAGGCTTGACCCACACACTGTGGCCAAAAGTGTCTATACAGTTGTCTGCCTCCTTCTGTACCTGATAAACTTTTTTAAGGCCAAGAAATTATTACTACTGATTATATCCCCAATGCCCATCACAGCACCTTATGCATAATACCTTCTCTAATTATTAGATACTTCCTTTACATTCTACCATGAGATAAATTCAACACTTGAAAAATCCTTCAAAATTTCATCATTTTTGTGCTATACAGAAAACATGAACCAAAATAAATCCCGTCTCTTAAATTGTGTATGTCAAGTCCCTCATTATGGTAATGAAAATGCATTGCATTTAGCTCTGATAGGAGGCACGTGAGGACCTATTTGTTAAAGACATGATGCTTCAGAAGATGTGATTGGAGCCTGGTCACTGTATGCCTAAGGAGAACTACCATTCTAATCTACCTCCATATCAACATCCCTAGGACATGTCAACTTATTTTTTTATTTAATTAACTTTATTAAGAAAGAAATAGCAATGAGATAGTTTCAAAACAGGTTAGTAGGACAGTTACAATAATTAATACATTGCATATTGTCTTCATAGTAGTTACTCATAGCACAAGATGCAAACATGATATCTTTGTCTAAACACTATTAGTACAAATGCTTCTTCTCAGTGAACTGCAAGTAGCTTATATCTATCCTAACTATTTTGTATATACATATACATATATTTTCACTACAAAATAGTCATTTATATCCCCTTTTTTTGTTTAGTTTTGTCGGAGATGGGTATTCCATTGCCATTTAAATATTGTAGGTACATGAATTCAGCAAAGTAATGCAAGATAGTCCAGTAGTCTATGATAGTAGTGGGTTATCCACAGAACTGGCAATGTCAGAAGTTGTTGGCTTGAGCCTTGTACAACTCAGCATATTAATAAGGACATGTCAACTTAAACAAGCCAATTCATAATATTTTCCCCAGTGTGCCCTCTTGGGACTGAGCTATGTTGGCTGACTCATATAAATAATTACACACAGTAATGCCAACAGAGTCCTCACTGAGTTGCAAGGGCATTGTGCTCTGTATTTCTGTTAGGGAGATTCTTCAGGCAGGGTATTATTATCCCCTAGCTGTGGATGGAGAAGTGAAGCCTCCGATTTTGCTTAAGCTCACTAAAATAATAGCTAAGCAACCATCCACATCCTCAGCAGTCTCGTTTGAAAGTCTCTATCTTTTCTGAGAGACTACACTGCCTGTCTACCACCGAGAAAAGTTCCCAGGGATAATGGAAACCGGCAACAGAGATCAAATGACAACGGAAAGTAACTTTAGCACCGAGGGATAGAGTTAGCTATTTCAGCTACTAGGGGGACAAGAGGTTGTCAGTAAGCTAGGAATACTTGATCATAGCTGTGAACATGGGATGACAAGAATCCCACGACATCTTTTACTAAGTCGTCTAAATAAAGAACTTTTAACCATTGAATCTCTTTATATTCTCATCCATACAAACTATAAGGTTGATTTCAAATTTTATATTGCTTTATACTTCTTTTTCTAATGATAACGATACTGCTCTATGTATAAACAAGAAATCTACAGCTGGGATTTAAGAGGCTTAAATGATTCAATTCAAAATTAATAATGATGTGATACAACTTCTGGTGGTCTTTTGACTACATTTAAATGAACTCTTCTTAGCTTTGGGAACCTAGAATTTTGTTTGCTTGTTTGTTTTTGTAGTACTGGGGATCAAACTCAGGACCTTGTGTTTTCTAGGCAGGTGGTTATATCACTGAGCTACCTCCCCAGCCCCTTTCTCTCAGTTTTGTATTATTGTTTCCTTCCTGCTTTTACCAAGTTTCACCAAGTTGCAAAAAATTAAGTTGCAGGGATTACTGAGGACCTCTCAACCGTGTTAGATTACCAGATCAAAGTGGTTCCAAAATGCTGAATGTGAAACAGGAAAAGAGAAGCAGGTCTTACGGACATGATACAGCAATAATTCTCATTGCTTCCAATATTTAATAAACACTGAGATGCCTCCCAGAGAACCTACTCGTAGCTCAGCTCTTGTCATCATTCAGGATCAAGAACAGTTGAATAAATTATTAATATGACAGCATTCTCCGAATTGGCACAAGTCCCATGGAAAGAGTGACGTGCCCAATTGGCAACTGCAATGCTTTGCACAGGAACATAACCCACAGTCCTGGGAGGTACACTTGTTTATTGCACAACATGCTTTCTTTCTTGAAGTTTTTGTTCTACATTATTCTAAGAGTTACTCAGAGAAATCACAATAAAACTGTTGATAAAAAGGTTCCACAATTGCTTTCGGCATTACTTTAGTAAGTCTCTATTCAGAATCCCATGATTCCCTGCAGGACCTGAATGCTCAGTCGTGTTCTCTGGGCCTTTGATGACAGCAGACAGTGGGGGAAGGTGAGTCTAGGAGAACTGCATCTACCCTGTCTGCCTTAGCTGGTGTCACAGAGACCTGGACCTGCTCAGTTAAAAGGTCCCTGGTTTTCTGATGGTTTGATCAAATTATGCATGCAAACATGTTGAGTCTTTATTCCTCTGTGATGTCTCAAATTCTAAATCTTACAATTATTATTATTACAGTATACATATACTATACAAATTATTATAGCATATGTATCAAGGCATATATTTAAGAGATAGAGCCTAGTATAGTAGAAATAATACATCTATTATACATAGATTTCTGAAGAGCATATAAATGAGGAGACTACACTAATCTAAAGCCAGTTTCCAAAATATTCCTGATAATCCTCTTTAATAATTATTTTCAGAAGCAATGGTATACATGTATTTTTGAAAGCATGAATAATTTTAATAAGGGCAAATCTGTAGTCTTTGGAAGCTAAACTTATTTTGAAGAAACACAATAGCTGAGACCAGAGCTATTTTTAGTTCTGTATAATATCCTCCTGAATTAGTATGTCCAAGATCCCACTTTATTTCAATCTGTTCAGATGGGAATTTATTGAAACCACTGCCCCCTCGTTCTAATCTGCTTTGTCTACTGTATCCTTTACTCTGAGATTGGTATCAAGCCTGTGGAATTTATTTTGTACCTTGTTAAAAGCTATGTTGGTATAATATTCAAATAACGGAGCTTAACAAAGAAAGGGGATACAGATGAATGTCCATTTCGTATCTGTGTATTCAAAGTGGTTAGGATAGATATATAGTTACATTGTCTTTATGAATAGAATGATTTGTTCTAATGGTGTTTGTAAATAAGATATCATGTCCACATCTTGTATAGCAATTAACCACTAGGAAGAATGCATGCAATGTGTGAATTATTGAAACTGTCCTACCAATTTGATTTGAAACTGTCTCATTACTATTTGTTTATCAACAAAATTATGGGGAAAAAAACTAGGGTGGGTGAAGTGTTAATGATTAGACATGTGTATGAATTTTCTACGAGCTCACTCAATGATTTAAACTCCTGTGCAGTGAAAAACGTTATCACATGATTTGTCTTGTATGAGAAACTGAAAGCATAAATGAATAACAAGGAAAAGATAAACAATAGGAGATAGAGAGATCTTTTTTTTAAGGAGAAGGAGATCAAGAGATTGAGGAAAGGCAGGGGGATTGAAGATGATGAAAAAAGGAATTAAAACATCTTATGTACTTGTACCAACCCCATTGAAGGCATGCAAATATTATGTACTGCAAACATGTACTAATAAAGAAAATGAACTGAAAAATATAATTTAACATAGAAAAAGAGAAACATTTTTATCTGAAATTATAATTTATAGTTTCAAAGAAGGAGGGTCAAAGATAAGGCACTGAAAATTTCTAGGAATTATGACCAAGGCCACAAAACAGATGTGCCTCACAGGTGTCAGAAAACCACTTTGTTACTGCAATCATTTTATTTCTACTTTAAGAACAATTCAGGAGTGTGGAGAATGGGACCAGTCTACTTTGGGATCTTCAAGCCTAGTGGAAATGTTTTAGATCCTGGATCCTCAGAATGAAACTGTGGGAGGACCCCTGCAAGTCAGGATGTCTGGGAGAATGAAAGAGACTCAGAGAGTGATGTGGGCATGACCCACCGCGCAGCCTTTCCGGTCCATACCTGTCTCTGGTTCTCTGTCTCCAGGCGCAACCTGGCTTCTACACACCTCCGAGTCTCCAGGAAGGCCTGGCGCTGGGCTCTGTCAGACAGGTAGCTGATGAAGATTCCAGCTGTGTTCATACACATGAAGAGGACTGCCTGGGCCACCACCTGAAAGAAAATCAGCAACAAAACAAAACAAAGCCCACGATAAGTGCCAGGTATGTATCAGAGAAAAACAATAAAGATTGGCAAATAATAAAATAAGAAAGCAAATAATGATATAGCGGGCCAATGATGCTTATAGTTATTTCTTACCATCTTTATAAACAGAAAAGATGCAAATGATCAAACTAAGATAAAATAAGACAAATGAAGATGCTGATAAAGCCAATCAATAATAAAAGGGAATAATTAACTTTGATGCTAATAAAATATTAATTGAGATGAGGTATTTCTGAAAATACTTCATTACCAAAACTGTTTCTTTAAGAGGAAAGAAGGAAAATTAAATGTGTAGATTAAAAATCTTTCTACAAGAGAAACAACAAGATCCAGTGGTTTAAGCAGAATTCTATATAAACAACTATGGTACAAATCATGGAAATCTTTGATCTTTTCCAGAGAATAGAAAATAGAGACATTTCCTACTCAACTTACATGGCTAGCAGTACACCCTTATTAAAACTAATGTAGTTGGTAATTGCCTATGTTGTAGGGTAATAATAGTAAGCTTTTCTTCTGGAGGGTTAACAACCTAAGTTTGCAGACCAAAAGTTAGAGAAAAAGAAGGGCTGCAAGGACAGCCAACATTTTGGGCTTAACCTTTCAAGGTCAGTGAAGACTCAGGACATAGGAGAACTTGTACTGTTAACATGTAATTCACTTGTATCCCAAACTTTCTGATCAAGGAGATTAAAGTGATTGATGATGTAGAGTGTGCCTAAGGAAAGTCACATGGAGAGAAAACGTTCTCTCAGGCTTCACAGAGAGCAAATTGGTCAAGCAATGGCTGTGACTCATCCACATGGCTGACACTGACAAAGGATTTACAAAGTCTGGTACAGGGTTTCAGGATAAATACTGAGGGGATTTGACTGACCTTATAAGATAAAAAAGTTACATTTCTTGTTATATCGGTTTTGCTTTCTCTTAGTCTTACCCATTCAGCAGAAAAGTATAAAAATGAAGTAAAAAAGTAAAGACATAATATGCTGAGCTGTAAAAGTCTCAAGTCAACAACTTCTGACATTGCTAGTCTTACGGAAAACCCACTACTATTATGGACTACTGGACTATATTGGATTATTTTGCTGAATTCATGTACCTGAAATATTAAAATGACAATGGAATACCCATCTCTGACAAAACTAAACATAAAAAGGGATACAAATGAAGGACCATTTTGTACCTGTGTATTCAAAATGGTTAGGATAGATATATAGCTACCTTTTCTTAATTCAATGAATAGAAAGATTTGTTCTAATAGTGTTTGTGGACAGGATATCATGTCTGCATTTTGTACAATGAATAACCACTAAGATAATATATGCAATGTGTTAAGTATTGAAACTCTCCCGCTAATTGGTTTTGAAACTGTGTCATTGCTATTTGTTTCTCAATAAAATTATTTTTTAAAAAAGAGCACACCAAATAGCAATGACACAATCCTACCTCCCTGCCTTAGATAACTGAGAAGACTGACAAATTATTCACATAATTCTCTATTGGAATAACACTCAAAAAAGAAAACAGACATGCTCTCTGTAATATTTATGACTGTCAGGCTTTGAGACACTTCTCAAGAAAAGTAGAATTTTTCTACTGTGCTTAGAACATGAGCTCTGCTACAAGCAGAGAGTGTATGACGCTAGCTCTGCTCAGACTCAACACTATATCCCCTTACAGTTCTTTGGGCAATCACAGACTGCCCATGATGTGCTCCCTTTGAGCCATAATGTGGACTGTGCATGCCCCCTTGACCTCTTTTTCCTTCCACGGAGATGAGGCTCACTGACATGATACCTGTGTAGAGTCATTCCATCCAAATATCAATTTCTCTTCCAACAGAAACCAGAGAGGGCCCAGACAAGCTGTAGCGCTTGCTAAACCTGGCTCTCACTCAAGTCTTCTTCCAGCAAGCAGCCATGCAGGTGGTGACTGCCACAAGGCCGCGGACATCCCCCTCCACCAGCCAATATTAAAGAATCTGAGGGAGAGGAACTAGATTTTTTTGGTTTTTTTTTTTTTACTGTGCACATAATTACAATCTTATGTTAGATAAACTGTTGCTGTGTCTCTTTTCAATGAAAGGGGGTAGAACACAAAAATAAAAAAAAGAAACTAATATAGTTGGTTTTAAAAAGTAATAAAAGATACATCTCACTGTCATGGAGGGACATTATTATGTACAATAGCAAATGAAATCCATATATATATGTATATATTATAATTTCACTTGATTATATTAATTTTTTCCAGGAATTTGAGGGAGTTTGACATTATCAAATCAACCAGTATAATTCACCATATTTATGATTTTAAAAAATATATCTGACAGATTCATTATATTCAGTTTATTCAATTTAAAAAATTCTGACAAGTGAAGTCAAGTTTCCTAATTGCTATCTAGGACAGCTATTGCAACAAAACCTAAAACATTTAAAACAAACTCATTGGTAGAAGGTTGAAATCATTTGGTTAATGACTAAGATATTAGTTATCAGCAAATGAATTCCTCATTCCCAACTCATAGGACAAAAACTATAAAGATAAATGTTGTAACATTTGGAATGAAATAATTACACTGTCATTATTTGCAGATGAAATGATTATCCATGTGGAAAATTATGAAGTCTCTATGGGAAAATTATTAGAGTGAGTAAAAGTTTAGTAAAGATGCTGAATAAAAATAAAATGTTAATTGCATTCTTACACCCTCATGGGCCCACAAGCAGAAAATGAATTTTCTTTCATATGTATATGTATATGTATATGTATATGTATATGTATATGTATATGTATATGTATATGTATATGTGTATATATATATGTTTATGTATATGTGTGTATCCAAATGTACTATCAAATCATGAGATATCTAGAAATTTATCTATGAAAATAAATGCAAATTTTAATTGAGAAAATAATTAAATTTAAATAATCAAAGGAGACCTAAATAAATGAGACATTACATAATATGTTATGAATAAAAGAGAGTAATAGTGAAATGTTGGGCTGGGGAGATAGCTCTGCAGTCTAAGAGCCTGCCTGGCAAGTGCAAGGACAGGCGTTCGATCCCTGGTCCCTATGCCATGCTGGTCCCACTCCAAGCTAGCCATGGAAACTGGGTGTGGTGGTGCACACCTGTAATCCCAGTGCTGGGAAGGTTGAGACAGGAAGATTACTACAAGTCTGAGTTGTATGGCAAGACCATCTACCAAATAAATAAATTTTAAGAAGATTAAAAAAACGAATAGTGAAATCTCAAATCTCAGTAGGTATTTGCTGCTCAGTAGAATTCAAGATGCGTTTGAAGTTCATATTACAAGGCACACAGAAAAAATTACATAAGTTATTCCTAAAGGAAAAGAAACTGGGGACACATGCAGTAGCAGAGATGGATTCACTGTAACACTGCAGCAGTGGAGGAGCCATGGTGCATACATGATAAGTGCACAGAGATGGATGCAAATAGCCAGGGAATGCAAGCACACAAAATTTACAAGATGGATTCACTGTAACACTGCAGCAGTGGAGGAGCCATAAGTGCACAGAGATGGATGCAAGTAGCCAGGGAATGCAAGCACACAAAATTTACAAGAGAGTTCTATATATTTCAGGGGAAAAGAGATTTTTCAACCAAGGGTATTAAAAATTTTATTCTTCATTTAGCAAAGTAGAATAAAAGTATATTCCTGCCTAATTTCATAAACAGAAATATATATATGCACCTATGTTTATACCTGCACAATTTGTCATAGATAAATCCTAGAAATAACCAGATGCCCATCAACTGAAGAATGGAGAAAGAAGATGTGCTATTTTTACACAATGGAGTATTAAACAGCTATAGAATAGAATAAATTTTGGTCTTTTTTAGGTAAGTGGATGCAACTAGAGAACATACTCTTTAATGAAATAAATCAGAGCTGCATGTGAAAACATCTTATTTTCTTCTTAGTGTGAGAACTTGAAAGAGAAAAAAGCAATCTGCAGGGTACAATAGATACTGGGAAAAGGGAATGAACTCTTTCCAAAAGGAAAGAGTTACTGAGTTGAGGGGAAGGTTAGGATGGAATAGGGGAAAGAGATTTATCTATTTATGTAAGCAGGATGGTTTGGACAACTGTGCTGTGCATTTCCGCTGGTCTATGGAAAGAAGCTGATATATTTAATTTGTTTTGATTCCTTTTTTTCAATTGTACTTTTCCTCTTCTTAATTTCTTATACACTTCTTTCTTTTTTTTCTTCCAATTTTACATGCATATATCTGGTAATATGAATAACTGGTTGGAAGACAACTCTATGTGTTACAACAAATACTATGAAATTCATATTATTTTTTAGGTGAAATTCTGTATCACTTATAATTTTTGTTGTAATTCTCATTTGTTCTCTCTTAAAAAATTGTGATGTATTAAAACACGTCCTACTCATCAGTGAAGATAAATTAGCTATTGTGCATGCATAAGAATGGGTAAGTGTATAAAAATAATGCTGCACAAGAATGTCTGATTCTAATTATCTAATATACAGCCAATGAGACAGCTCAGCAGACTAAGTGTCTTCTTAGACAAGTGCAGGGAGCAGGATTCCATCCTCAGAACCCCACACCATGCTGGCCCAACCCCTGGGCATGCTGAGCCAGCCACTGAAACCAGGTATGTTGGTACATGCCTCTAAACCCAGCATTGGGGAGGCTGAAAACAGGAGGATCACTACGAGTCTGATCTACATAGAGATCTGTACCAAATACATAAAAACCCTAATTATGTAATGTTTTGAAAGAAGCAAAACTAAACAATGTATTTATAGATATATAGGATAGCATATAGCCTTACTTTTTACTCAAGAAATCATCAAGGCTCAAACATTTAATAACATCATATTCTGGTTAAGTTGCAAGGGAAGTAGTCACTTGCATACCTACTTGGGGAACATATAAATTT